TCCCCCCACGGGGCACGATCCTGTTCGAGATAATAATTGTCCTCGAGTGTATGAATGTTTGTGGCGTGATGGCATGTTTACCAAGTTAATTACCAGTTTATCGGAATAGTCGAATTTTTATTTATATTTTCTAACGTTGAATTGTTTTCTTTTTTCTTAATCTCTGATTCTACGTCGAACATTTGTTATTCTATTATTCGATGAAATTGTACTATATAGATTATATTGTAGACTATATTGTACTACTATAGATTATTCGTTATAATTACGCTTTCTTATAATTACATCAGGAGGAGGAAAGTATTTATGAAAGTCTCGATGATAAAATATAAATTCAGTATAATAATTTTTTTTATTTTTATTCCACGCAATATCCAAATTAAATATTCACGAACGAGATATCGCGAATGTAGCAAATTCATGATAATATCCCGCCTCGAATTCTCCCCAAGTTTCCTTAACAAAATTCAATCCTCTCGTTATATAAACGAACGGTTGCTTGTACAACGGAGCATCCTTCAATTCCGAATTTACTTATCACGAAAGATTGACGTTTATTTCGCGAATAGTACTATTAATAACACACCCAACATACCAAGGTAGAAATGTACTGGGTTTGGAAAATAAAGTTTCATTTCATTAGTGCAATGATTCACGTGAAGTAAGGAAAACTTAAAATTAGTTTATTTAACAGTTACTTGTACCTGTAAGATAAAACGAGGTAATAATAAACGATCCAAATAGTAGATTTAGCTGGAAAATTTTCTACATACGTACGTCATTTGATGTCGATGGCGAAGAGTTAAAGAAAAAAAGATTAGCAAAATAGTGATTCAAAGGAATCATTGAGAATCATGAAAATTGTTGGACAGATATTATATTTGATGATATCACGCGTTTCTTTATCATGTCAACACTTTGATGTCATGGATAGATAGACAATTCTGCCCTGAAATCTCTGTTCTCATTAATCTCGTTACCCATAACTTTGTTCTTAACATTGCCTGTGAAGTCCATGGCAAAGTTGAACAACACTGTTCAAAACAAAAGTTTGTGTCAAAGGGAAGCTAAAATCTAGGGCCCCAGTGACATGCATAATTATTTCCATCTGAGACGTTCAAATAGGTCGCCCTGAGGATGCCTTCTCATTTTTGTCCCATTCTTCCAACTCGGTTTTCCAGCCATCACCTGAAAATGAAAGGTGAAGAATAAGATTCGAGCTGGTCGGAACGAACGTTAAGTGTCGTCGCATTTTTCTTCACTCTGTGAACGTCGATACAAGGAGCCCGACTCCCTCTTTGAGTTGATCCACCGGAAATCAGCCTTTTGTCCCTTCTTTTCTCTTTATTTCTGCTCCATTTTTCTGCAAAAAATGATATATATATAGGGATGTTCATCGTTGATATTATTATTATTATTATTATTATTACCAACTATAAATTTTAATGATCGTGATATGTACAAATCAATCAAAGAGGGAATAAATTTACGTGAATAAATTATAATTCTCAAATCTGAACACAAATGAGAATAATTTCGTAGGAAAATATATGTATTACATCGTAAATAAATGTATAAAGAAATAAAAAGTGAAAATTTCAAGTTATATCCAACAAAAAGGATTGGAAAAATTTCATTGTTCAATTTCAAATTCGCTTATTTTATTTAAAAAAAAAAAGAGGAGAAAAATTGTCCTTCTCTGGACGATGCCTGTCATCAACAATGGAAGGCATTTTATAGGTAGATGTATATGAGAGATTGAGTTACAAAGCGTTTGATCGCAATGGGATGATATACATCGGATTTTTACGACACGCAAGCGTACACATATATATCAGGATCAAGTGAGAGTTTCCTTTTCCGATTGGATGCGTTTAAGTCGACGATTTTGTTCGTTACCTCTCGCTCTTCCTTTCTCGATTCAAGGTAGTAAACGATATTCGAAATCCTGTGGGACCAATTTCCTGTTTCAACGTTATCTCCAAAAAGATCTTGTGCATCATCTCTCCATCACATGAATTTAAAACGTAGATTTAACGCGATGTCTACGTGTCTTTCATATATAAACGATTTTATTTATCCCCCTGAACGATTAATCTCCAATCCATAATTTTCAATTTGAAGATGATATTCGTAAATATATCGTTTTTAGTATTTCGATGATGGAAATGATATGAGCTTTCATTTTTGATATATTGATAATTATCGGGAATGCATCGAGATTAAAATAAATTTATTATTTGTCGGGGGTAGATATTTATCGTTTATCATTCTCTATGTTTATTCCTGCGAATACAATTGATCAAATCATAGCGTGTATATATTTATTGTATATTTAAATATATTGTATATATAAAAAAATTCAAAAATGAACAGATGTAAATGAGAGCGAGATCATTTTTGAACGAGGTCCTCGTTCGAAATTATATAACAAATGGAAAGATAATAATTTTCTTTATTATTTCGATCAAAAAAAGAAGAAAAAAAAAAGGAAATTCAATCAAGACAAAATCACTTTGATCATTTCCAATATATATATCCATATATATACCAACAACTCTTGAATAACCTCTGACCAACATATGAACTCAAATAAATTTACAGGGACAGACTATCACTCGGTGTATCCGTATATTGGATGTTCGATCGATTCCCTTTTTTCATAAAGAGCTATCACACCGTCGGTTTATTCTATGCGCGACATGCGGGACAAAAGCAAATTTATATTTTCATCCGGTAAACAGTTCAATTTTTCCAATCTTCAATAATTTCTTTTCAAAATTTTAATGCTTGCAAACAAACATCGTTGCATCCGTTCACTTGTGATAATGATTTTATAGATAATGTCTCACTTGACTCGAACATTTTAATTATTTTATCGATAGTGATGATGATTTAATATCATTATATTAAAAAAAAAGACATTATTTGATTCGAAGAGGCTTTAAGATACTTAAGCTTTTATAAAATGAAACTGAACACTTTGATTTATAACAATATGAGATAATATTATGATCTACAAATTTATAAAAATCAATCAATATAAATTAATATAAAGTAATGGAAAGATTAATGAAAATTTATTTTAACAAGCATTTAACTAATTAAAACATCGTCCATCAACTTCAACGCACTTGTATGTATTTTTAAAAGAATTAGACTTTAAATAAATATATCGAAGACAATACACATCATTTTGAATGCTTTTTTTAATTACAAAGAATACTTAAGAATATTTAAAATTTGTTGAAGTTGATTGGAATGTTCTATACTCACGATCGATTCTCACATCCTCAATAATCCCGACTCGAATGACGGCGGGTTTAAAAAATGTCTGAAAGCTTCTGCCACGTCTTAAACGATGTTACGGAACGTAAAGTAAACGGTGCAAAGGCGCTTATCTATAGTTTCGTCGGCCAACACCGGATTCATTCTGAATCGTATCGACTTTGTTGTCGTTGAAAAAGACCGATTGCACTAGGTACTCGTTAGTTACTGTCTCTTGCAAGTAGAAAATTACAAATCGTCGTCCAGTCGAGACACCATGATGACTAATCGTCCCTTTCTATTACGAGATCTATTACGTAGATCTCCGATCTACGCCTTTGAATACAGTAGTATTCGAATCTAGATATGTCTAGTTTTGGATTTGTCTTCGTGTAATCGATGATAAATAGCGGGGATTGCTTCTGGAAATTGTCGTAACGTTTTAAGAGAAATCTTCGATTATCTTAATATGTTATCAATTGTTGATATATTTGTTGCTTTCTTTTTTTTTTTTTAAGTTAATTTCTTTCATAGGATGAAGACAAGTTATGAGACTTTCTTTCTTTTATTTATTTTATTGAACGTATTATTGGAACAGATAGACATCAGGAAAAAAGGAAAATATCGGACGATGCTTATTTTGCATAATTTTGAAACATTCAGCGAAGAATTAAATTTATTTATAAAGAATTAAAGTTTCATTCTTAAATTTCGTTCCTCATAATCGAAAAGTTATTTCACTTAAAGATTAAAATTCCAACGAAAACAAGGAAAATCCTATTTCTTCTGGCAAGCGTATCAAATCTCTTTTAAATCTCGTATAAATCGATTCCGTGGAATTTTTCTACTCAACTGCCAGGTTGGCTATGATCTCAGTTACGCTACGATGAATTGCCGAGTTATATTCCTTCGGATAGCGGAAACGTGGTCATAACTTGCCATAACATCGTATCGAGAAACGTTAAAATGGTTCATCCCGAAATTACATTCTTTATTTGAATTATGAATCACACCATCACGATCATAATTTCGGGATGTAATATATTAAATCCGACATATCATCTTCGCAAAAATGTTTCCCTTCTCTTCTATCGCCTTATCCAATTCGATCTTGTTGCGTTAACCCTGATATTCGAGTCGATGATGTTTTCGCGAAACTTTCATCCCAGAACAAGATAAAACGAGAAAAACGACGAATCCTATAAGATTGGCCTTAAGCCTCGAATGAAACCCCAACGATGCGAAAGCTTTTTCGTTTTGACCAATTCTATTGTATTTCTTTTCTGCAAATTAGAAGAACAGTAACAAATAATATTATAATACATATTTCTTTTATGAAAGATTTTAACATGTCGTTTTCACGTGTTGATCACTTATAATTCAATATAATTTCGGAGAGAGTAGGCTTTAAGGTCAATATCTGAACCGCTGGGAAAATTGGCGATCCCTGGATACGAATAATCAAATTTTTGCTGGCCCTCTTGGCCTCATATCGTGCCAAACCGCAGGAAATTGGTTCTCAGTATAGATAAACAGATGACAATATAGGTCCCTAATAATAAACATATATAAAGATTTTCGATTTCATCTATCTATAATTTATTTCAAATTTGCAGATTAAATTTGCAAATCTATCAAAATTTATCACCAATTTCACAAGTTCAAATATCTTTCAACAAACCTTTCAAAAATAATCTTCAAATTCGAACAACTGCCTGGTAAAAAGTTATCACAAAAGCTACTTCCCCTTTTGTTCTTCTTAATCCCAAAATCTTTTTTGCCACAATTCAAATATCTATACATCGATATATTTAGCCTTCCACAGCGTCTACACTTGGATTTTCACTTGGATTAGAAAATAGCCATCGTCGCTCAGTTGAAAAGGGGAGGGGAGGGGTAAAAATATTCGCGGCAGCTGGCGTTGAAAATAGGGTGCTCCGCTTAATCGGTTCTTCCATTACTTAGATGCGGCGAACCTCGTGGAGGGAGTGGGATGCTCGCGCGCATAAAATCGCATTACCTTCGCGACAGGCACGCGAAATTCTCTCGATATCATGGAGTCTCTCTGCGCCAAGTCTGATCTCGAATCCGTTCGAATCCAACGCAAGGTTTAATGTCTGTACGTCTAACGACGAGACACGCTGTGACACGAGCGTGTTAAACAACGTGCACACGACGACTGTATGCAGCGCATACGTTTATTGCCCCTTCTTGTTTAGACAGGGAGTCACGTATCCGTGGACGACTTCGTGTTTATCCTTCCGCACAAAGGGAGCAAATTCGGCTTAAGGGTAAACGCTGTTCGAGCGGTCACGTCATCGTGGCAATTGATACATTTGTTGGTCTATTTGGATTGGACGGATAAAAGTTTGGTAATTAAGGCTGTTTTGGTTGGTTTATTCTTAGAGGGAGTGAATATACCGTTTTCGTTTGATCCAATTTCTGAATGGATTGGATAAACTTGTCGAATTTCCACTCATGAATTCCTTTTTGTCAATGTAATTTGCCAATGGATGTTAGTTGTTGAATTTGATAATTTATATATCATATACATTACAGATTTCTTTTTTATAATTTTGTTTTCAATTAGAGTAGAAGTTGCTCACAATATTTCTCTACACAAATTTATTTATCATTTCTTTTTTGTGAGAGTATAATTTTTTTTTCTCTTGATAGTGCTATATTAATTAATTCAATTTTATATAAAAAGAAAAAGAACGTATCAACACGTATCAAACGATGGACGAGAAATAAAGTAATGGAAGAAGTTGCACGGTTTATGCAAAGTTAGCTTAATGACAAGCATGATCGTTCAGTCTCTTTGCCGGATGAGACGGTCTGTGAACGGATACACGAACGGCAAGTAAATCGTGCTTGTATATGCACAATGGAGGCAGAGTAGCCAGGTATCCAGGGTTTGCTCGTATACCTATCTGTCTCTTGATCCAGAGAGCATTCCAATGGCTAGTCGATTGCAAATCGTGGAATTCGTGTCTGCGGCTTCCATTAAGGGAGTTCGAGTTGTAGTTCCATGTTCGTTAGCTACATCTGCCCCCCTCTTTCTCTCTCTCTCTCTCTCTCTTTCACGACATGTTAAGCGTGCAATTCTCGCCATTTCCTTGCTTTCGTTGTCGTTACCGGTTACCTATCGTTTCTTCCAATCGTGCTCTTTAATTAACGATATTTGCTAATCACCATTATCATTCGTATTTTCCAGCAGAATCTAGAATAGATTATTAAATGATAAATTGGTTGCAATTTCCGTTAATCCATATGTGTTCTTCGTGGAATAATGATAATGGTGAATATATTTGCCAATTTATTCATTATTATGTACAATGATAAGATAATTTTTTGGTTTCGTAATTGATGATGTATATGTATATGTAAATATATTAATTAATTTAATTTTATTGATCTTAATTAACCGATTTTTAAAAATTGAACTTATATAATATAGTAGTTATTTAATTGTTAATTACAATTGTGGGATAAAGTTTTTTTCAAGGATTTTTATATACAGTTTACGTATATAGTTTTAAATTTTTAAAATTATTAGATTATTGCAAATTATTCAGCAATTATTTATTAATCATGTAAAATACATCTTCAATTACCATTTCATATTATTTATTAATTATTTCCTGATTTAATTTTCTTGGAAATATACTCAGTATCGAGAGATAACGTTACCTAACCTAGAAACGCGAGAAAACGTTATCTAACCTGAAAACACGAGAAATTAAAAACAATATCTTGCGTTATGGGGATCAAATTTAACCACGGAGAAAAAAATATCCTCTTGATTCCATTTATTTCCACGAGAATCCATTATTCATTCTTACGTATTTGTATTCAAAATGATTTCTGCAAACTCTATCTACGATATTGTCGTGAAGTCAATAGGACGAGGCATGCCCTGCCTCGACTCTTTTCCCTCATTTTTCTCGAAGTAACTATTTCTTTCCACGTTCGATCGACAATACCTGTTGGAAGTATTTTCGTTTCACGATCGAAAGATCGGATCGTATGTCGATACTTATCTCGTGGAGCGTATTTTACGATCAACCAAGCAAGAACGCAATAACGACGCACAATGAAGTCGACATCGTGAGATCGTACGTACTTGTTATTCGCGAAAGGATGATACGAAACCCGATGCTTTCGTGCTGTAAAAATTCGAGGAAAATACGCAAGTCGATAGAAAATGCCAATGGATTTAAAAATATGTATTAATATAAAAATATTGATTGATAATAATCAATTAATATCGGAAATTTTGAATTTGTATATTTTTTTAAAGAGAATATGGCGATAGCGAGATAATAAAAGCGAATTTAAATTAATATAACCTAAAAAAATCTTCCACCAAAATTCGACCCCGCGAAATTCAAATGAATTAATTGCGATGTCTGATTGAAAATATAATATAAAAATATAAAAATGTATGAGGGATGTGAAAAAATTAATTGGTTATGGATAATCGATTAAATTAATTAAAATCAAGTTCCAATATTGCATTTTTAAATTCACGATTATAGTATATGATTATCTTGCACAATTATTTTTTTTTATAATAATTATTTATATTAAAATGAAAAGAATATTTTGGAATATATTTTCAAATAAATAATTTGTTATTGAAAATAGGTTAAAATCGTATTGATAAATATTTTTTATATAGTTTTTCGAATGAAAAATTTTTCAAATTAAATTTTGTTGGAAACAATTTAAAGTTATATCGATATTTTTTTCCAAATTTATATTTACTGTTTCAAATATAATGTAGAACATCAGAGAACTAGGTTAAAGTTTCCATAAAATACAGTAACATTTCATAAAGTGAAATTACGTTCCGTCTTCGTTAGCTCTACTTAGGTCTCGACTTCATCAACGATGAGTTACATTTCGCTCTTCATAAGATACAATTCCACATGCACTTTCATCATCCACGTTTCATTTCATGTTTTGATATTCAATACACACATATCGTTTATCAAGTAGTACAGCTTTTTTCATAATTTTTTCCTCGTATCCTTCTTTTTGCATTTCCAAGCACTCAAAGAAAATTTATTCTTTTTAGAAAACTAAGGATACTTTTTTTAGAAAACTCGAAATTAAAAAATTACTTCCTTTCATAATTATTATTAATAATTATTTTTATTATAGTAATAGTAATATATTGTTGGTCTCTTTTAATATTCCTGATAGCCATTTTACGTAACCTTCCAATTATGAAATTTAATTAAACAATTTATTCATTCCTTCATTTTGATAATAAAAACGTATTCCATTTAAAAAACTCAAGTTTATTTCCGTTTCTCGAATAATAAATATATATTGTACAACCTCCTTTGTCATTTTTTTCAAAAACTTAACGATTTCGAGAAAAAACAATACAATTGATTCCACGAACGTTCCATACATCAAATTTCCGTTCGACAAAAATTTCGATAATGAATATAATTCTTCTGAAATCGAAACCGACACACCCGCAACTCTACACATTTTCCATTCGCACTGCATTATAGGATAAAAATTTTAATAAAAACGTCGTCGGTCCAATGGCAGAAACCCTTCCCTCCCGAATTAACTGTTGTCTGTTTCCAAGTTGTCTGTCCTTTGTTCCACGGTTCGTGTAATTCGCCGCTCGGAAATTGCATTACATCACGGCAAGTTACATCGAATCAGTTACGCCCCAACAGCTTTATCCTCTGTGCAAACTTGAGCTTCGGCTCCATATTGAAAGTTACCGTTCCTAGGCTAATTAGTTAACGGGTATTAATATTACAAATAGCGATTTCGGTGAAACGGAAACTAAATACCTCCTCTGCCTAATTCAGACACTGTAGGGCCAGATATTGTTCCCGAATAGCGAACGCGTCCGGATGTACCCGGTGTATTATTGTAAATGCTCATTGGCGCGTTGCGCCGGCCTATATTCCCTCGCCCTCCCCCCTCCCTTCCTCGCCCTAAAATTGCGATGCTCGAACGAGAAAACCAGTTTTCCAGGGACGATCCGGATTTCTCTCCGATCCGGCTATTATATTCTGGTTTTATGAGTCACTTGCCGTTGGAAGCCCGAGAGAGATTCCTCGGTGTAAATAATGATTTGAATAATAAGACGGCACAGTTGCCACGATTTTACGGGCTTAGCGAAAAGCCGATTTGAATTTTCAATGAACGCCGGCGATAAATTGGCCTCGTTGATGAGCGTTCTACTATCTGGTAGAGCAGGGCCGCAATTTTAATTACAGAGAAGTGGTATGTATTGTTTTTCGAATGATTGTGGCGGCCGTACGTATTTGGAGTACGATATTTTAATGAAACTGGTTGCTCGGATTTCGTATTCTTCTTTTTTTTTCTTTTTTTTCGCGTGGATCTGTTTTTGCTTGTTTTGCCAGAGGGATTGTTTGCAGTTTGGTTAATAATCCGTTTATTTTGATACTTTTGAAACGTTTGTTATCACAACATGATTACAATGATACGATATTAATTTTGTTTAATTTAATTTTTATTTCATTTCTCTTCTTATTGAAAGATTATTCAGATATCGTATTTCAATCATAATGATAACAATGTAATCGCTCTCATTGCGAGATTAATCATTAAATCTCTCTTCTAAAAATCTTTTTACATTTCTTACTGTTTTCGAGATATAATAAAATGGCATATTAACATCTAAAAAGACCCTGCACCCTGAAAAACAAAAAAATAAAAAAAAAAAGGAAAGGGAAAGAATTTTCTATTTTAAATTATTCAGAGATCGTATTTCAATCATAATGATAACAATGTATTCGTTCTCATTGCGAGATTAATCATTAAATCTCTCTTTTAAAAATCTTTTTACATTTCTTACTGTTTTCGAGATATAATAGAATGGCGTATTAACATCTAAAAAGATCCTGCACCTTGAAAAACAAAAAAATAAAAAAGAAAAAAAGGAAAGGGAAAGAATTTTCTAGATACCAGAAACTTTTTTGTAAGAGATTATCACAGAAACAATGCACAAGAGGAACTTTTGAATAAAGAACAACAATTATCAAGCGCGGCTCGCATTACCATGTAAAAGAACAGCTCCAGCCTGGCCATATACGCTATCTTCATCCCCGTTACGGCCACATGGAAATCCATAACGCGGTTCCAGTCACGTGTTAACGGTGTATCACGTATCTGGAATGATCCACACGGATCTGTGGAAGCGCGCATATTCCCGATTACAATTTACACGAGGGGAAACGGGTTGCAAGAAAGCCTGGTAATCGTAGGATTTCGATATTTTCACCCCGTGGAACCAATCAGTAATCATCGCTCGGGAACAATATGGGGAGGAGGGCATAACTGAAACGGTAATTGTTATTGCGATCGTTAACACATCGACATGGAGAATGGGTATCGGCGCGTGTTGCGCATGCGTGCTCGATCGGTAAGCGCGATGACCTACCAGAGGATTAACAATTCCATTGGCGTTAAGAGCGGGTCGAGCGGCGGTGCAAGCCTTCCTGCTGCCGATTCAATGGGACGGTTAATGAATTTAAGCTATCTTCGTGCCGCCCTCCACCTGCAGAGCTCAGGTTCCAAACTTGGAGCGGATATATGGTAGATCCTTCTATATGTATCCTTTGCCAGAGTGCACTCGACTCGGTGACTTCGTTCAGTTTAGTTTTATGCTCTAGTATCTATTATAGGGTGGCGTGGCAAGCGATTTTGAACCTGAATGGTTTATGGTGCGGGCAGAGGGGACGTTGTTTTCGAGAGTCGAAATTTAACATTTTTATTAAAAGCTAGGATTTTGTTTTAACGATTTTTGTTGTTAAACTTGATTAAATTTTAAATTTTAATAATTTAAAATGTTCCACGTGTGTTTTCCACTTTTGCGATGTTAATTTATGATCTTCTTTCATAATTATCTTGCATATAAATGAGCGAAGTTATCACATATGCACCTTATATGCTTTACCACGCTGTGCCACGCTGGACGAGACAGATTGGTGTTATTATTTATATATCTTTGTTATATCGTTGCATATGAATCAAAGTTGGAATTATTACGTACTTTATACACATATTTTTTTTACTTTATTTTTCTGTGTTATTTTAATTATATTTATATCTTTCGGATATTTTTCTTTGTTTCTTCTTTATTGAAAAAAGAAAAGAATAAATGATTTTTTTTGGTTTTTCCTGAAAAATATGTGTAAATTTCAGTCATGGTAATATAATATAATAATTTCAGTCATCTATAATAATTATAGATTTGAAACTCAACTTTTGCTTGTTTCGAAAACGCCTTAAGCATTATCGTTTATTTAAGAGGAGCTAATACGATGTTAATCCTTATTCCTTTGGAATTATTATCCTTGGGACGTGTGCTTCTGATCCCTGCAGTAGCTATTTTCTAAGACTGGGTTTATCACGAAGGGGAATAGTTTACTAGGCTTGATTTTGGAGGAATACGTTTTCACGAAACGAGAGACGTTGGATTACGCTCATAGTTAAATAAGGAATGAAGATATTAGAGTTGCTTTATTGTTGCAAAATTTATATAAGGAAAGTTGTTTTTGGAAATAACATTTACTTTTAATCAATTATGTAAAATATTTTTAAAACTTTTTTCGTAACGAATAATCTTCTCGCAAATTTTGAGAATAGCAATTTACATTGTTCTTTTGTTATTCGAATTTGGATAAAAATGTACGTGTTAACGAGTGTCAGCATACAAGAAGATAACAAACTTCAAAAAACATTGGTACTTCTCGTTGAATTAATTAAAGGAATTAGAACAAAGCTCGAATTCTTCATTTTTTCAACTGCTCATGCTTGTATGATATTTGAACCAAATTTTTTATATTATCTTACAAATAATATTTTCTTATTCTATTACAAAAAAACCAATACAGATTTTAAGAATATTTTTAACGAAATTATACGATTGATCGATTCTGAAACATTGTGTGTAGGAATTCATATTGTTTCAATCCACGTTGGTTGTATACAGTATAGTTATTGGAGGAAAATGTTGGAAAATAGCGTTGTTGGCTTGTTAACTGAGACTTGTTAACACGTACCAGAATATAACGTGTGTTCTGTATTTGATGAAAATGTGTTCACGATGGGGGATAGACTTTGCCCCTTGTTTCATAGCGTTGTTTCGTTCATTTCAGCCGAAACGAAAATCAGAATTTATCACGTGTCATTCACGAACATGACCACTACGCTAATCCGTTTCCTTCTCTTATTATCCACCATTAAAGTTGCCGGTGAGAAGGCAACTTTATGGGCGGAAATTTCCTCTGCGAAATTCCACGGATTCTTCTTAACTGCCAAGATTCAGAAAGAACGATGAAAGTTCTTAAAATTTTTCCTCGCGTCAAACTTATTTGATGTTTGTTCCTTTTTTTTTTCTTTAAAAAAAGAAAAATCTTCGTAGAAGAATTTATTATTTTGTCGTCTTCTTTTTTTCTTCTTTTTCTCATTCTAAAAAAGAATGACGTCGAAACTGGCGTTCGAAATTATGTAGAGGTTGGACGATAAGTTTTTATCATCTATTTCTTAATAAAAATATATAACAACAATTCTTATAATTAAAATTCATTGAAAAAAAATTTATTTAATTTTACACGAGAGACTACAATTTAGACTGAACCTGAAATAATAAGTGTATTAGAGAAAATTGATATATGCAATTACGTTTAACTCGAGAACGATGTATCTTTATTTTATTTTTAATATCATGCTCTCATAAATATCATTCTAATTGGTACATTAAAAATATTTCCTGATATTCCACCGCTCTTTTATTTTCCCCTCTTGCCTCACACCATTAACAAACATTTGTCTGCTCAATGAATTTGCCAAATGAAACGACATTAATTTTTCCAAAACAATGCTTCATTTATGCATTCGTATATACACACGTTTCACAAAATTCCAGGATTCCATGCTCTTTCATCGAATCACGCTTTCTAAAAAAAAAAATAAAAAAAAAAAGTCTCGTAATGAGATTGAAAAATTCGATGTCTATGTGAAAATATCATCAACGAAATCCCTCAAACAGTGGAATTAATTGCACGGCGTTCAATCACGTTTTTCCAAATGAAATTAGTGAAAAAAGGAAGGGGAGGGGGAGAATAGAAAAGAACGGATTAAAAAAAAAGATAAAAAAGAGGATTAACAGTTGTTTACGATGTTTTGTTTCGCAAATAGATGGAAAAAGTATTTAACGTCTCATTATTGCGCATCGTTTCAACTCTTTCCTCTTTTTTTTTTTTTTCTCGTTCAAAATTATTTTAAAATGGAATTAAAAAGACGCGAGCTCTTTATTTCGTTGCTACAAGCTAGTGACTCGGAATCATGTCGTAAAAATATCGTTGGAAATTGTCGTGAAAGATAATTTAAGAAGCGAAACGTAAGTCGTGATATAATAAGTTATATACGTTGTTAGAGTTTTATAGCGCATTATATACTTGTAACTGAGATTACTAAGATTCTGAAATACCAATTGAAAACCATATAATTCAATACGTTTAACTTTAAGAACGTTGTACTAAGAAATTATTAAAACTTTTTTATATATTATTCAACGTATCAATTATATGGTTTTTAATCTATTTTTATAAATGCAAAATCAAAATGCCAAATCAATTTGCCAAAATCAAAGTTCATGTTGTAATATTTAACATCTTTATTGATTTTTGAATAATTGTAATTATTTTTTTATACATTAGAATTTCCTGTTTATTTAGAATTGAAGTACACGTTATAACTCTACACTCTAACAACGAATCACATGCATTAAAATGAAAAACTTTTGGATGATGCAATTTTTATTCAAATTATTTATAAATATATCAACTCAATCTTTTAAAATCCTTATTGAAAACCCTTATGAAATCATTATTGGACAATTTTTAATATAAACGAAATTATTTTATTTATACTTGCCTTATCGTTTTTTCAAATTATTAACTTATGTTCACTGTAGTATACTTTTGCAATACAATATTCTATATACAATTTAATCACGTCCACGGAACAATTAACGAATCTCTACGAAATTCAAATTCCTGGATTTATCTGCGGAAGTGTCAGATATTTCTTTACACTTGGTACACTAGATTCGTTCGAAGTAACCGAGAGAAAAGGTAGAAGGGAACGTTGTATAGGGAGGAAATTTATGCGGTTGAAATAAATTTAATGTTTCGTGACTTTGTAAAACTCTGAATTTTATTTTCCTAGGAGAAAGAAGTGTAAAAAGGGTGGTTCCTTATTTTGTAATAAAATATATTACGTCGTTATGCATAAGTTGCTCTTTTGAAAAATTGATAAATGTTTTTATTTCGTTCAAGGAACGAAAGAAGAATCGTTTAATTACCATAGATAAATAAATAAATAAAAAGAGATAAATAAGAAAAATAAGTAAAATATTGAAAAAGATAAAATATTTTAAAAATTACTTCTTCTTTAATTCCTTTGAATGAATTAAAAAGGTAAAGCCTACAATAGAGAAAAAAAAAAAAAGAATTGAAATCCGTTTTGAAACTAAATGAAAAGCCAGAAAGCTCCCAAATTTATGAAAAAAAAAAACAAAAAAAATCAATAATGCTAATGGGAATCCTTAACAGAATTAAATTTTCATATTTTCATTTAAGTCAGACCAATCGGAATAAACTCTCGTATTTTCGCAAGGGAAAATAATAAGTTGGAGGCTTAAACAGGCTTACTATTTTACATTTTAATCTTTCAATTAAAAGGATCGACGGGAATGCGCGGCTTACATAAATTCGAGAATGAGTAAAGGCGGTCGTGCGATAAATTTTATATTTTCATTTTAAATATCGAAATGATCTAATTTATTGCAAGCGTTTTGGATTAATCGTGTTCCAATGAAACAACTATCGTTGTATCTCACCAGCTACGTTGTAACTTTTAGGAAAGTTTCAAACTTAAAACACATATATAGCTTGTTACACGATAGCTTTTACGCTTCGGTGAATGCGTATCGTTTTCTGGAAACGAATTCATAGTTTCTGAATTAGATGCACGCGCGATTACTCTAGAATTAACGCACTGTTGCTCTATAATGGTAATTGCAATTAATGTAGGAAATGCAAAGGAAACCGTCACGGATAATAAACAATGTTAACGATACGCACGATACAGATTAACGAAACTTAATCTAATTAATAGTACGCGCAGTTACTTAGGATAACCTAACCTAACTTCTTCTATCCCGATTCTATGTTCCAACTTTTAACGCACTTGTGTAACACATGTTTCTACTATAAAATATTAAAATTTCTAAAATTTTGTTTTAAAATTTAAAAAATTTTGTTGCAATATTCGTGAAATATCTTTGGAAGATTGATTTTGAAGGCCGAGATAAA